CAGGGGTTACAGCTGTGGTAACGGTTGTTTGATTTTTTGCGGTGCGCTGCCTGTCGTGCTTGTTTTTTTTTTCTTGCAACATCGAAGCGGGTGCGCCAGGCAAACAGGAGAGAATTTGTCCCGACGACAGTACACAAATAAGCAAATAAGTGAGGTGCAGAAGAAAATGAAGAACCAAAGAGCGCCCCAAGACAACAAAAAGAAAACTCAACTCTGCCCACGCCCATGCTGGAACTTCACTCAACAGTACAGTAATAGTGTCGATCCATTTCGTTCTTTGTTGGCCCCGTAAGCGTGGGCGCTACACCATAAATCGAACACAACCTCATTAGTGCCGGTACCGGCACTAATGAGGGATTGGCCAGCCCTCAATAGTGCCGTTTTGGCACTATTCGCAATAGTGCCGGGTGCCCGATTTAGTGCCGGTGAACGCTCTGTGCACGTACCGGCACTAAAAGGGTCCCTCGACTGTATGCACATTACCCAAGGAATCCATCTCTATCTAAGAAAAGAGTCTGTTTTTCTCGAAACGAAAGGAAGGGCGTCTTAACATATAGTTGACTGCACGTACGTCTGAGCTCTGAGACACAATGTTGAGCTAGCTCTGAGACGCCAAGAGCTCATTATTGTTGCACTCTAAAAGCAAGGTAATTTTTTTCGGTGCGGTACATCCAGTCTGCAGTCGCCTTTAGACTAATTGTTTCACCGATCTTCGTCCACTTGAGAGCGCCAGTCTACAGTCTCTCCACCACAAGACTCCAAAGACAAGTCGAGTGACAGCACCGTGAAACGAAATGAAACTCAACCGTTAGTGCAGACATGAAGCTCGTGCGATGCATTGGTTTCAAACGACGTTATAAAAACTCGTTCGGCTATCTTCGCCGACCGAGCCTGCCAATCTTCCGATCAACAAGCCTATGTCGCGAGCTCCAGACGCGGAGGGCGAGCCGAGTTAGTGCACCATGTAGTACGTTTAAAATCTCTGACTTCGCACCTGCACCAGGGCGAATCTCCGCATGGCACTTTCACCTGATATCGAGGCGCTTTTGGGACAAGACTTGAGAACGTCAAGTCATCAACCACAAGGACTTTTACACTGGCGGCTGATCAACTGTTGTTGTTGTTGTTGTCTTCGTCCTACTTCTTTATTATTGCGACAGTCTCCATTTTTCGTGGTGAGACGTGTTCTACACTCTTCAGTGTATGTAGAGTGTGTTTACTTCTATTATATTAAAAAAATAGTAGGTACGAGCGAGATTGTACATGAATCTCACTCGGTCTCTGCCCTCTAGTGGTGATGGACTATTACTCTCGCTGGGACTTTAGGCGTTCATTTAGCAACCGTTTTCCGCTCAATCAACCAACTCTGTATTGTATCCGAGGCCAACTCAAACCCGTTCCTCCTTTAAACCGCAAGCATTTCTCCTGTAGCCTCTTTGTCAGCTTTTTTGCCTCACAGAAGCACCCGCAAGGTGAACTCCGCTGTGTTGTTGCTTCTGTTGCGTGCAAACGCCGTCGCCGACCCTGCTCGTCCTTATCCCTGTTGAAAAT